GTTTTAAAAGATAGACTGTGGAAAAAAATGTGAACCTATCTTGAACAAATATTAACACGTCCGATTTTGGTTGCTGTAATTGTTCCTCCTGGCCCTTAAAAGATCAATTCTTAAAGCAGTTTCACTGATGGGGGACAGAATCCAGTCCACATTTCATTAAAAAAATGCATTACAGTGTGCCACAGAAGACACTGTGAGTCGTCAGTAGTCTTAAGAGTTAAACAAATAAATTGGGTATCTTCCAACATTCCAGTCTTTAGTATAAAGTTCCCTTTTTGTGTTTCCTTGCTGAGCTGCATTTAATGAATAGTAACACACAAAATTTTGTACTACAAAAAAACCAAAACAAAAAAACCAAAACAAAACTTACACTGATATCGCTTTAGGATGAAATCTCTTCACGGTCAGTATGGACAGGAGAAACAAATACAGAAACCAACAGTTTCAATGTACTTAACTGCAGCAAACATATCCTTAAGTTGTTTTGATAAATCTGCAATGTAACAGACCTAAAAGCTGGTCTGATGTTCATGGTGATATATCTGAATCAAATCGAATCGAATGGAAATAAAGGCCTTAAAGTGTAACTTTGGTATTTTTTTATCTGGACCATATTTTCCCATGTTTTTGTGTCTATGTGACTAATTGGAACAACATTTTTTGAAATTGTTCCAGTATTCAGCATTTTTAGTACCGTTTTTAATCAATGGGTGTCTGGTGGCTTTGGCAAAAATCTGAAACAAAAATTATCGTTCTCTTTAAAAAAAAAAGGTCTATGTCAGTAGGGACCCTTTCCATAATGATGTCAGACACTTGTATAACAATCTGGGCACTTTCGTGGATGTATTTTGATGGGGTGAAAGTGCCCGCAAGGATTACTTTGCAGCTTGTTTCCCTGCTGCCGACAGCATGCAAGCTCAATACTGGATCAACTTCAAAAAATGTTTTTACAATTATTCACTTGGATACAAAAACGTGAGAAAATAAGGTCCAGATTACCCTTAAAGGTAAAGAGTCTTATCCACATATGTAGCTGATTGTAATTGATGCCTTCATCTTATTTTTCCAAGTAAAACAATTAACTTTAGGAGCACCGAATTTGAACATAAAGCTTATAAGCTGTACTGATTATAGTCTTTAGCTATAAATTCATCCACTCAAGCCTGAACTCAGTTCAAAGTTCGGATGACCAATGCCTCTGGAGTGCTTTTAAAGGTAAACATAAGATGGTAAAAACCCATACTGAAGCCTGAAAACGTCTGTAAAGCACATGGAGTGATGCAACACACATCAATCCAGATAAAGCACTTGACAATAAAAGCAAGGGACTTACAAATCCCTGTAAAGCAAAGTCTTCGTACAATAAATCAGTTAAACAGATAAAGCACGCAAGTGTTGTAAAGCAAACAGAAAAATTCAAGTTGAAACGAATGCTGGTGAGGCAACAGTGTTGTACTTCAGTCCAACACATACAATGAAAAACCCACCACAAATTTTCAGCACTGTAGACATTTCAAAATTAAGAACAGCAAGCATTCATTTCAAGACATGATTTAAATGTAAAGGTTTTCATTCAAAACAAAGGCATGATGTGTATATATCTATGACATTATAATATTTGAATAAATATATATTCTTCTATAGGCTGTATGGCTTCAGATTAAGGTTTTCTGCACCAAACATTTCCCTTCAAGCAGTGTGAGAATGTTTGCCCTAAAAGATGCATTTGGTATGAAAAATAAAAGTATGAAAATAGTGTTTCTCTACTTTTTGACAATTTAAAAGTCTTTGGAATAATGTGGTGGAGGGATGTGGTGTCTCTTGTTTGGAGAATTGTGTTAATTAAATAGGAGATTTTTGCTTTTGATCACATCACCAAGTCATGTTGACTCGTGTATCCATTCCCACATGAAGAATACAACATCTGTGCAGAGCATGAGGCATATTCTCTCTAGAGCTACCTTGCTTTGCATTCACAAGTGGGACTATGTTCAAAAATGCATTACTTGCTGCAACCTTCCTCAGACCTACTTTCTCTGCAGAGCAGTTAAAACTGCTGTTAAATGGAAGCCAAATCATAGAGCATCTGAAAAATTGTCCCGACAGCACCACATTAGGCGACATTCACAGATGAGATGAGAGAGACAGTTCTCTGGGTTTCAGTAACTACAGATTATGAACCATTTTAGAACCTCAAACGCTGCATGTAAATATCACTGTCCTCTAAGCAACAATAAAAGCAGGATTTGAGGATGGAGGAAAGTGCCACATGTCTCTTCACTTGTCAATTCTGCAAAACAATCTTTTTCTCTTTGACCCTATCCTTGTTGACATTTTCAGCACACTTCTCCACTCCGACTCCACACACACACACACACACACACACACACACACACACACACACACCCCCAATTTGGTCGAGACAGGGGAATCAGACACATAAAGGTTTGATCCTCCAATCTCTCAACTGCAATAATCCTTTTCTTTGGATGGCCTCCATGGAAAAACTACACTCTTAAAGTATAGTGACAACAGACCTAGGTGAAAGAATACTTGTGGCTTTACAACATAATTGTTATTGGCTGGGGTACTTGTTAAAAAAAGCCCTACATTACAGAGAGTGACTTACAGTATCAACAAAACACAAGACTACGTTTTAGTGCTTCCTGTACTACGAAGCAAGATCCTCATATCCAGATCTTTTCATTATCTAGCTTCACTAACCCTAACAACCGTGATCACGATAAGCGGTCACACGCTTGGTGAGCAGAGGTGGCTGTGGAGTACGCAATATCCATGCTCAAGTAGTCTACAGCTTCTTATTCCTCCCCATCTCTCACCTACACTGCTAACTCAAAAACCTAGCTTGAGTAGGCAATGGCGTAGGGAGAGACTATTGCTATTAATTGGGTGGGGAATTAACATAATTATAAATTCAGAATTGTTGGAATTCCCTAAAAAAAGATGCAAAGTAAGGTGCAAAAAGCTGTACAATTTAAACAATCCCATACTGGTAATGACCAAAATAGTTTACTAATTTAATGCATGGAGCCGTTTCATTTCATGAATACTAACTATTCAGTTCATACAGATTTCTCACTATCCAAATATTGTTAGGTGTTTATTGATTAACAGATCACCTTTCTGTTTTAAATGAATGTTCAGAGAGGAGTAATAGACCCAGTTTATGTGATAAGGCAATGAAATCAAAGGTGTACTTGTTTGGGGAGTTTGAAGGTGCATGCTTACTGGACAGCAGCACTAAACTGTTACATAGACGTAGGCCTAACTTTACCCACATAATAAGTAATAAGTAATCCATACTATATTATCCATATTATCATAATAGTTACCACATACCTCAAAATAACTATGTCCTGTTGTTGGAAATGAAAACTAGGTGGAAATGAAAACCCCTGTACTAGGCTGATGAATGAGCAGGCATACATTTAGCACTGTAGCGCTACAGATGTTACACAGCATGCTCACACATCTTTATCAAGGGAACCCTTAGCCTAATAATTAGTTATGATAGGACATGGAAATTTCAGATTGTGTGAATGCATAAATTAATAGGCTTATAATATCACTGGCCCATCATTAGAGCACGAGTAGATCTGTCTACATTTGTCTTTTCCATTAAATTAGTGTGTTGCTTCGATATATTCTTATGGATAAGACACTGAATAAGAGGTTGTTCCAACTCACTTTCAAGAAATTTATTTTAAAATATGATTAATTTATTACTCGTACTGTAAAATGTTTCAAATATTGTTCTAAATTTACTTTATAAAACAACAAAACAAAAAACTCATGCCATAAAAAGTGATCAAATAGCGGTTGAAAGACTGTATCTCAACCACAGATTCAGTTCCCAACAGTTACTGAAAACTCTCCCACATTACCTGCACCCTAATAGCAAAAGACCTGACAGTCTCTATAAGAAACAAATGCGACCAAGTTATAATAAACAAATTAATATTAAACTTAATTTAAATACCAACATATATGCTCATAATATATATCCTAACTGCGAAAGGATGTATGTAACGGACTTGGGAGCAAATAAAAAAATGCCTAGGAAAACATAATTTCAAGCGTTAAGTAGACTTGCGTTCATATCTTAAAAGTACAACAAAGTACAAGGTCAGTCATTCAGCACAAAGGTAAGAAGTGAGACACTGTTGTAGGACTAAAAATACAGGGTCAGACCTGAAGTTAGCTGCTAACCTTAAATCCTGCTTACAGGCTAGGGCTGGGCGATATGGCCAAAAATGTTCTCACAGTAAAAACTTTCATACCATTCGATATCGCTAATTATCGATATCAAATGGTATGATAAATTTCAACAAATGTCAATAAATGTCAAATCATTATTTCTTTCAAGTTTAAAGACTGATTTTTGCTCCTGAGTGAAAGTTGAAGAAACCAATATGGTTAATTGTGGTTTTAAACTATTCTTTATGGTCAGAACATGGCAAAACTTGCCAAACAGTGGATCACTTAACAAATCTGAGGAAGAACATTCAAAACAATTAAGATAAAAATCTTTTTTCAAAAAATATAGTAAAATTAAGTAAAATCTTTTTGTCAGTCCCTTTTCCTCCTACAAAATTAATATTTTAGTAGAAAAATAAGTACTAATTCGTTCTCGATTCAAATGAATTAAATTAAAAATACACGATAATTATCATTATTGTTTTATTGCCCAGCCCTAGAACATGCCTAAGGTAACTTTTCAGTCACAGATGTACAAACTGATATTGTTTATTTTATAATGCCCGTGTTTGATTTCAGCTTTGACTTTTGTGGTGGTCTGTCTCAATGTGTTGCATGTGTACAAGATGACAAGTCTTCAGTTTTAAAGGTTATTCATAAATATATGATATTGTAATAATTTACATATTTTACACATCTATACTGCATAGAATTTCTGTTACTTTGCCATGACATGCCGAGAGTCTTAGATATCAAGAAGGTTAAGAGTTGTGGAAGGATTCCTATACAAACTAACCTTTACTTACTGTGTCCTGTAATAAGCTGAACAGTGATGTAGGACATGATAGCTTCTTGTAAAGGCCAATAAAAAAAAAACAACAACTGAAGAATGCAAATAGGCATATAAAAGAAAGTGAGCGCTGCAGTGAAAAAAGCAGTGAAGGTGACTGTTAGATGAGCACTTGTTCATTACATCAATAGTAAGAGTAATATTTTCTACTTGACCCCTACTTGAGTGAGTTTTAAAGGGTGTTGTAAAGTTGAGGTAAAACATAAAACATTTTCACAGACACGTGACATGACAACATGTGGATAGAGAATCAATTACTGACATCAAAACATCTGTGATGCATCATTGTCTGTCTTACAAGCCTCCAAAACACTTTACTCCACATATATACGTCAAAACTTCTTTATGCAACAATGAGGAATTTTTCAAGTCCACGCAGCTCCCTCTACAGCCAACAGACAAGGCCACAGGTCTGTAAGCACTACTACAAAGAACTGTGTATGCTCATTTACACAGTGACGAAATACATCCAGCTTTTAACTTACATCCCACAAACACTGGAACAAACTGATTGCAAACAAATGTTAGTACCCCTGAAATCAGATTATGTTTTTAAGAGACAAAAATAAAAATGCACCATGTGAAAAGGTTTGACATAAAATAAGGCCAAATGTTTTTAAACTAGCTACACTCCAAATGTTTTAATGTCCAGCAATTTCAAGTAGCACAATGAAAGAACAGTTTCAGTGAGATATTTGAATAAAACAAGCACTTACACTCAAGTGCTGCAAACTGGATTAAAGTAGTTTGCTTTGTTGATTAGATTTAGGTCCTTGAGGCCCAGCATGTCTCAAAGAATGTAACTTGAAAGAAAGAACATTTTGTTAAACCATGAACAAACAAGAAAAGACGAACAAGAAAAAGGAAATGAGACAAAAAGTCTGACACTAATGTAAAAATTACATTGTCGGACACTACAACAGTCCAAACCTTTGGTAATGCATAGTTCTTTCCTGAATGCATCAGACTATCAACCACAAACCCCACCAGTGACTGCTGTTTCATTACTGTCTACAAAAAACAAAGAGCAATGACAAGAACAAAAAAATGGCTCTTTTCCCCACTTCTCAAACTACTTTTGCTTTCTCTTTCTCATTTGTACAGCAATAGCAGTTTTGGCTTTTTTGATTTCTGAACCAAAGAGATTATTTAGGGCAGAGCAGTGAAACAGCCCTCTCCCATCTAACCAGTGATGGTGGACATGCAATCTGACCCCTCCGCAGCCAGTCTGCCACATCAAGGCAGGAAGGGTTCATCCTCCTCCTCGTCTGCGCTAGGACCGGGGTCACTCAGGCACCTCATAAGCTTCTGCTGTTCTCTGGGTTCGTCCGCCTCGCCTGGCTTGTTAGGTCCACTTGGCCCCGAGGGAGGCTTCATCGTCAGGCCCTGGTCTTCCTCCTGCTGCTGCCTGAATTCATCCATCAGGTTGACTGAGTCTGGCGACTGAGGAGAAGCCAGGTCTACCTTGATGGTCGGCACTCTATCTGATGCTGCCTTCGTGCTGTAAGCTTGGGGGTCTACAGGCAGGACAAGGGTATATGATCAGGGTATTAGCTTTAAGAAGGGATCTGATATCACTCCATCAGCGTGCATCAACATACGATGTACAAGGGGAGGAGGAGGAGGAGGAGGAGCAATATTAAGATCAACACAGCTGCCCACTTCACAAACTAAACAACACAAGCTTAATGAGCTTTCCAAATATTTCACAACACAACAAAAATAATGCAGCACATGCTGGGATATTTAGTTAAAGAGGTCATATTATGCTTTTAGGCCTTATTCCTTTCCTTTATTATATATTGTTATACATCTGTTTTGTACATGTAATAGGTTTGCAAAGTGAAGTTTACCCCTAAGAGACTTACCATCTCCCACAGAAAACACTGCTCCTGAACTGCCTGAAAACAGCTCAAATGTAGTCCAGTATTTAATTCGGTAATCTATCTGCGTCACTATGTATCACCTGTCATAATGCTGCCTCCACTTACCCTTTACCCTGAACGTTAGCTACCCTCTGTTATTGGACATACTGTAAAGTTGTTACTGTGATGTAGAGACAGTGCACAGTAAAATGTTAGGTATGAAAGATAAATTTATAATAATGTACCACTGAACCTCTTGCTCCAGTCTAGGTTGTGAAGCTGGTTCGGGAACATGTACAGCTGAACCGAAGCTGTGGTTACTGGCTTGTCAGGATCCACCCTACTGTGCTGATTGCCTAGTAGTTCTTAACTAGGTACAGCGCATGTGCAACACCCAACAAAGATCATATCGAAGAGAGATACTTCACTACGTAGCTAAAACGGATCATACAACACAGTCAACACATAAAATGAAACATGTAAACCTATTCTTCCTATTATGCTATTCTAAAATGAGCATAATACGACCACTTTAAAACTCACTATGAAAAACACAAGCTAAATGTCCAATACATATCATGCATAACTGTTCTGTAAACATCAAGACTTTGTCCCTTGGCTCTAATAAATCCTCTAGTCTTCATGTTCATGAGATCCCCTCATTAGTGATGAATAATTAATTAATGGTAACAAGCAACACAACTGATGCATGCATGTTAGGATCGTTGCTGGGTTATCAAAACTCAAAATTAATCTTCTCTACACTGACTACATACCTGGGCAGATTTTGTTGCATTTCTGCTGCTGTGCAGGTTTGAAATCAGTACCTGTGCCTAAAATGAAACCACACACTGGTTTACATGCATGCTGGCACATGCAAACATATTTCCATCAGTGGGGAAATATCTTGCTGCAGCTGTGAACAGTAGCTTTCCACAGTGTTTAATGTGTTGTGAAAGCTGCCTTTTGAGCCTAACAAAACATAATGTCCGATCCCTGTGTTTCTCATATTGTTTCACGCGGTACCTTTCAGTAAAATGATGGTAGATAGAGTGTTTGCATTTGGCTGAGGCTGAGATAAATGTGCTTACCTGAGGCCAGTCTGGCTCTACACATGGTAGGGGAGTCATGAGGAGCAGCAGGAACTGTCAGATAGTTATTCATGTTTTTTATCTGTGAAAACAAAGGAAAATTGATTGTTTATGGGTTGGGTAACTTTGGTGAACATTCACTATTATTAATATATAAAGTTTAAATTATACAAAAAGTACAAGAAATACACTCCCTACCTGATATAATTTTTTGTGAAGTATCAGCTAAACTAAAACAGTTCAGTGATTAACCATTGATCAACATCTTAAAGAAACAGGCTCACGTTACTTTATTTGTACTCGTGGGTAGATTTGGTTTGCATTATAAGACAAAGCATTCCTCTTGATACACATTTTACAAACAACAGACAAACATGAAAAAAGTACTCAATGCTCTAATAATCAGGACTTTAAAAGAGAGAAATAACATCTAAAATAAATAACCACTAGAATAAATAAGTTTAAAGGTAAATGTAAAACTGTTCCTACTGCTTCTTAAATCTGCAGGTGTATTTACATTTTTAAGGGGGAACGCTGTCCTGCGCTGACACTATGACTACAGCTAACATAAGTTAGCTAGACCTTCTGCCTGCGCAGAAAGCAGCCATGCACACGCCCCTTGGATTGGGTTGTGAGTTGGGTTGGGGGTTGAAATTGTATGTAGTGTGTGGATTGTGTGTGTTGACAGTGTTTCATAGACAAACGGCAACTTGGGTGATGTCAGACAAACATCCAAAACTTGGATCCGTGTATAACGATTATTCTAATTAGTTGTGGCCGTGCTGCTAAATAGTTTCCCTGGTGAAAGAACAAAATGGGAGGGCGCCGGGGAATGGCCTTGAAATATAGGTGAAACCCAGGAAAAAAGTGAGTGGTATGGTCTACAGTGGCTTGTAGTGCATTTGATTTATCCAAAACAAGAGTCTACTTTTATTACGTAATTACACGTTGACAAAATGGATGTTTGTAGTAGAGCTACTCAACCGTGCAAATAAATCAGCCCCCATTTGTGTCGAGACAATTAATTTAGGAGACTGAAGGTAGACTCCAATTAGAACACAAATCATCATTTTGGTGGAATCATTTAACTGCTGGAGACCCTGTATGAAATAAAAAGAGCAGCTCTTCATCTGTTTTTTTGAGTCTACTGTGATTCTCCTGATTATCAAATGCCTCTTCCTGCAATATAACTTCTACTTTGCCACATTCCAGATTGCATAACTGTTCTGTATGGCACACTGCAATGGTATTGCAAAATGTCTTCTTTAGCGCTAACTAATCCGCAACATATGTTTGGTTCAAACGTATTGTGATCAGGTGTCATTAACATCCGACAAAGCATACAGCTGGCTCAGACTGATTCTTGATTTAAGAGGTGTTAAGGTCTTAAGTGAGACTGATAATCATACCTTCCGCTCTAGCTCAATCATCTTTTGCTTCTTGATAAGGAAGTCACCGAATCCATCCTCATATGGATCAGCCACCAGAGTGTGTCTGTTGTAGGAGCGCAGCTGAGACAGAAAAAAAACACATAACTCAGTTTAAGAAGACAATTCAATGGTTAACAAATAAAAGTTAAAGTAAATGAAATAACATTGACTCTGTTTGTTTCTGTTTATCTAAAAGGTCTGCAGAAGTACTGATAAGAACATAAAGAAGAGAAGAATAAGAAGAGTGTGTGAAAATGTATATGAAAAGAGGTTAGACTGCTACAGTGGCGACCAGACACTTGCAGTTGCTGAGCTGGCTGCACCTGCTTTTCAGTCTAATGTCGCAGAGGTGCCACTTTGTTTATCAGTGCAAATCATAGGAATAAAGATTGATGATTTGAACGGCCAGTAGCACAAGGCAATACATCTTTAGCTAAAACAAATCAGGAATACGAATGTAATAATGTTTCGTGTAATTCATATAGCAGTGTTACCCTCATTCGTGTCTTCTGTAGGTTGCTCCTGAGGATCTTCCTGATCTCCTCCTCTCGGCCTTTAGGCAGCTGGGACAGAGATCTCTCTGCAGGCTTGTCAATAAGAAGCTTCTTGGGTTGAATGTTCCTGAGAAAAATGCAGGAAAAAGTTAGGACTATCAGAGTTTGTGTATTACAGACCAGTGCAAACAAATTAAAGACACATCAAAGGACATTCATGTGTGCACTTCTAAAAACACATCCCACAATCTGTTGTGATAATAATCAAACCATTGAAATTTCCCTAAATTATTTCCTCCTGGTATCTAATTAGATGTCTGACGTTTCTAACGGTTAACATTTTATGCAAAGAAAGGTAAAATAATCGCCTCCCTCTGTAACTCATCCTCAACAAAGTCAGTGGTTTGTTAACTGTAAAGTGATGTTAGTCAGGTTCTTACTGGCACTGCTGAATTAATTAAGCTGACAGGTCTGAGCTTTTCTATCCTTGGTTTGTGGACGGTAAAGGGAAAAAAGTAAAACTAAGGATCCACACCAGTGTCTCCATCTTTGACTTACATTCAGTAACGAATGACTCATGTGAATTCAACTAGATATTAAGACTGACTAAGGCTAAATTTAGCAGTTTATCATTGACTGCTACTACTTCTTCAACTACTATACTGCAAATGTGAAATTAAGTAGCGACTAGCTAGTAGCGCATTTACCAGCTAAAGAGCCAGATATTTCCCTCAGAAGATAGTAGAGACCCAAAAAAAAGAGCTAAATGAGAGTAAATACTTGAATTATATACACCAGGTTGTCAGAAACACAACTGAAATGAATGACATTTTTGCTCTGTATCTGCTGGATGTGTACAAATGTAAAATATGATGATACGTATGTTAATGTTGCGTGCACAACTCTGCCCCAAAGTGCAAGCATTCAAACTGGTCAGGGGTAAAAAAGGTGAGAATGATACGCAAGCAAAAAAAATGTACAGAGACAGTGTCTGTTTTTAAGTTTACATCTTGTATAGATAATGTGCATTCGTCTACTGCAACAAGAGAAAGACACCGACACACAAGGGCGTCACTTTGTGTTGAAAAGTAGTGGGCTCAGATTAGGGGTATGACGAAACACTTAGCTTATGAGATGTGGTGATGCACCATACTGGTGTCACAAGAACAAGATGTGATGATAAATTAACAGTATTTAATAGAAATCATCACAGCTCAAATATATGAGTAGGGCGGTCTGGGGGTCCTACCCCAGAAAATTTTAAATAACCCATTTTGGTTTCAAAACAGCACATTTTGCCAAAAAATAAGTTACTGCAGGTGTAAGGACTTAAATTTGGACAGTTTTGTATTCTGAGAGTGGTAACTCAGAACTTACTGCATGGAAACGGTGGAAGGCACAGCAGAAGGCAGCTTGACTCCCCCTCCACTTTCCACCAGCTCAATGGCCTGTTTCATCTCCATCTTGTGGTAGAAGGCAATGAGCTGCGGCTCCTTGGAGCGTTCGCCTGCAATCAAGCACTTCTTCACATACTTCTTGTTGAAGCGGTTCAGTCTGGGAGGAAGAGAGTGACAGATGAAAACAAGAATGTAATGTATATTCTCGCTTAAATCAATAAGCTGATTATTAAAATTAACCAATGACATTGTGACAATGAAGGATTAGAGTAAAAAAACAAAAAACACTTTTAATGCTCACAGTTTCTTTCAGTCAAAGGTCTACTTCTTTTAATTTGGCCTCCAGTAACTTGTCATGAACATTTGTCATCATGTTTGACATTTTATAGTGAAATGATTTATCAGTAATAAAAATGATGCCCCCCATATTTTCTGATGACTGTATTTAGCTCATAGCTGTAAAATCCATACTTGTCCTTCCAGTGGTGGTGTCCATAATGTCCACAAATGTCCTCAATTCCAGTCAGCAGGTGGTCGAGGAACTGGGGATGAAAACAGGCAAAACAAATCTTCTTTTTGAGATTTTTTAAGATTGACAAAAAGACTAACTCTAGATTGAACCAGACTGGCATTCCACCTTCTCTGTAATGTATTTTACAAATAACATTTTCATTTATTGTAAAACAGGCAAGGTGCAAAAATGTCATGTCTGTGAATAAACCATCATCTAATATACACGACTCTCCAGGGGCCCATGTTATATCTGCTGAAGCACAATGTCACTTTGAGCAATTGCATTGGTCAATTGGACTGATTCCTGTCATGTCCTTTCCCCCCCATTGTCTACATGTACGGTATACCACCTGTAGCTAACATGTAAAATGTTTTTTTGATGTATAAACTATAATTTATTACTAACAATGTTATTGACTGTGATTACTGGTACCACTGACGTTACTCAGCTTCATCTTCATCATCTCTTGTACCTTTTGCTTCACCACAGTTCCCATTAATCGCAGTAAAAACACCCTCCCAGGTAAGACTGCTAACATCATTATCAACAAAAGCGGTTGACAAGTTTAAATGGGAGTCATGAGAGAAAACTAGCAGCAGCAACAGTGGCAGCAGCCAGGTGAATGATTGGCAAGTGTGTATTAGCAGTGGCAGCATGCCGGCTAACAGAACCAGAGAAATGTACCAATGCATTTGGTTTTCAGCCGGCCGCCCTGGTGCTCTGACTAAGCCTGGAGATGACAGTCTGACAGACAGCGTTGCTATGGGAGCAAATAATTTTGCAGAGCCACAAAATTCACTTTGGCTTTGTCCAATAAGACTGATTTATATAAAAACTGCCCAGCACTGGGGGGGTGGAGGTGAAAAAGTCTAATTTTAAAAAGTGGCAACAGTATGAAAAGTTTCTCTAGTGTTAACGCTAGAAGATTGAGGGCGAGACAAAACAGCAACATATTATGATACTTTATTTACTACTACATAGACGTATTCTTCTTTTACTACAAACATCTTGGCTCTGGAGCTTCTTCTTTCACCAGTTTACTGCATGTCTGTTTGTCATTTAAATAATGGCACAGTATACATGAAGCTGTATGTGCTAAAAAGTGCTCAGACACAGCTCTATTTTTAGCAATCTATAAGATGCTGCCAATCCAAAAGCCTTTCATTTAACAAATATATGCTTAATGCCAATTTATGAAAAAATATCTTTCTTATTCTGTCGCACAAATCCATACATGATTGTTATGCATTGCGACTGCATATAGTGGTATATAACCTACATTACATCGTCACTGACAACATATCAACACATAATAGCATTGCATTGTGTGTTGGCATGTAATTCCCAGCCTAATTTCAAGCAAGCAAGTAAAATCCTTAATGGGTGCTCGAAATGATCTGCAGCAAGTGTGATAGTTTCGTCACCTAGCTGCTTGCAGACATAAATAAATAAATTCACAGCCTCCATACCAGATAACTCAATTTGGATTCAATGCTATGTTGTAGCTGAGTACTACTGTGTCATCAGTCGGCTCTGTTGACTCTAATTATTAGTGTTTTACAGTGGCGGAGCAGCCCTTAGGCACAGGCTGCTCTCTTAGCATCGAGCACCGGTGACTTAACACAAAGCCAGATCAGCCTCTGTCTGTGTGTGTGTGTCTGTGTCTGTGTCTGTGTCTGTGTGTGTGTGTGTGTGTGTGTGTGTGTGTGTGTGTGTGTGTGTGTGTGTGTGTGTGTGTGTGTGCATGTGATCTTTTTTAAAAGCTTTAAAATCCTCAGGGTGGTCAACCATGGATGTGTTTGAGTACCTACCAAAAATTGTGGATACAAGAATCTGTGTGTTCAGGTTATATTTAACTCGATGGTAAAAATCATTGCTGTTATGAAATGGGGTATTATTTTCTAACCACGGTTTGCTGTACCTGCACACTGTACAGTACATTATATGAGATGAAGTACCAATACACAGCCAGTAGATGGAAGCAACAATCCAAAATTGATAGACTAAATGGTCTCAGAGGAGTGTTACTGGAAAAGGACGTCACATTTTACATAACTACAACTGAGAATAATGTATAATGTCATCAGAAAACAATTCACTATCAAAATGTAATTACTTACTTGCAACTACTGAAAACTTCTTAATCCAGGGAATGGTATATTATAGCAAAATTATTAGTACTTTTTGTATTTCTGTATTTGTCAGTGGGAGTAGTAAACAAAACAATGTCAGGAAGTGAAAATGCATTGCTGTGGCTCAACAAAGTGGCTTGGTGAAAGAGGAAGGCAATGAATTACCATTATTTTCTCCATGTATCACATTAATTTACATAAAGAAGGTGTCCTGTGTTTCAAAACATTTCAAACAATTTTGACATTTCTTTCATCAAACACATACCAAAAGGCCCTGGGTCATATGCATTCACCATAAAAAAAATCATCAGCTTCTGACCATTAAGGCTGAAGATGGTTGAAGGGGAGAGGTTGTACCTGGGTGTGGATTTCCTCATTAATCGAGCGTTTCGCTTCCTGTTTCTTCTTCACCGCCAGCAGCTCCACCAGGGGTTTGATGGTCATGCCCTGCACGGATGAGAGCAACAAAACATTATTCACTGTAAACGCCTCCTGGCCTTAGCTAAAGACAGAGATAGGCTCTTATCACCCACTCCCTGCAAGAGTCAAGAGTGCCTTTAAAGCTGTAATGTTTTATAACCTTTCTGTGTCTCCATGCTCTCAGACGGACTTCTGCCACACATGTCCTGGTTTATAACAACATTAAAGGTAACTTAAAACAGAGTCATTGTGCTTGTGTTTTCATTCGCTGAAGTCAGGCAGAAGCTCAGTAGTATCACTCTCCACTATGGCTGATTCACAGACACAGCAGGTCTTCTCACTGCTTTTCACAACAACCCTGTTGCGTGTGGAAGATGTGAGGAAAGTTACAGATTTCAGCTTTCAGAATCAACTTCTTAAACCCACGTTCTAGTAAGATAAACACAATAAAATCCATCTCATTATCAATCCTAAATGATATAATTTTTGTCTTTCCATTGATCCCTGGACAGACATTCTTTGAAGTTGGGTAGTGTAAGGCAAAGATGTTTCTTGCAAGAACAAATGCAGCTAAGATAAATCCTGAACTGCAAAGCTATGATGTCCTGTCTAGACAGAGAGTGATGTATTTTCAATTACAGTGAAGCAAAGTATTATTTTCAGTATCATAACCTGCAGTGTTTTCCCTGTGGATCCCTGTGATTATACTCTCCTGAGAAATGTGATCATAAGCATAACTGATGAGTGCATTCATCAACAAAAACAACTCAGTTTAAACCACTTTGTGTTTAAATTGTGTTTGTTACAGTGTATTTGGTTGCAAAGGAAGAACTGAGTTATTTCTAAACACTCGTCTCACGCTGCTAAACAAACTACTTAGGTGAAAAGTTCATTCTGGCAACCAAATGTTTTTTATTTTTAGATTTTTTATTTTCTACAGCTAAAAAATGTGTCTCAAACTTAACCCCACTGTAGCATGTATAATCACATGGTCTTCTTCTGGTCATCAGCAGGACTAAGAAACATTCACTGCCACAACCGAACGGTTCCAGGAATGCAAAAATCAAAACATCAGACCGATTTTTGGCTGCTGCTAGATTATAACCAGTAAAGCTCGAGCGTATTATTCTGCTCCTTAAAGAGATTAAGCTGTCAATCTGGTTTAACTGTAATAGCATAAAGTGGGTGACAGAAGATTCCTGTTCTTTGATAATGCCCAGTTCTGCAAACAGACATGTAAACACTCACCTTGTGCTTATTTCAATTCAACCACACAAAATAGCCACCATAAATACAGGGAAAGTTAATATTTCATGGTTAACCCGAATGTTTGCATCCCACTTTAGGACAATCAGTGCAATTAAAAAAAAGTCATCCAGGTGACATCCAAGAAACTGTTCGTACCTCAGGTTTACTGTGGGGGGAAATATAGTTTCTTACAGAAGTGAAGACCTGTGTTCAACTGGATAAACAATGACTCCTCATCTTTCTATGCTTGTGAATATGTTTGGTCATAAATACAGAAATATAAAACATTCTCTCGTTTATGGCTGGATAATACAATTAGATCATGATTATCTTACTTTGTTACACAGATAGCATTTTTTTTTTTTATTGTCTGAATTCCATGTAACAAATACTAACAATAATTACAATAACCAATGACCCTTAAGCAGATATTTGACTAGCCAATCAGCCTACAAGCAAGTCCTGCACATTGCAGGTGAAAGCCCTCCCTGGTCTGCATGTGTCTCAGCATCAGACTGCCAGTGCTGTATCATCAATAAAACATTTTTCTAATCTTCAGGGTTTTATTTTAGCTGTTTCTATTCTGGGTCCAATTCACAGCCAAGAGTCTTCCTACAGTTTCACGAGGAGACTGGTTTATCTGGCAGGACAGAGCTGATGCAGTTCATTGTGCTTTAAAGTGGGCAACGTGTAGGCCTATGCAATCACTGCCGGTTTGTCTTTATCTTCCCTTCATGTACTGTTTTTGTATGTTATATTCAAGTTCACTCAGAAGAACCTTCTGAAGGAATGTGTCTCCACGTATTTTGCATTCTTTCTGCATGTTTAACTTTTCATGCATGAATTAGCTCACCTGCCTGTCTGTCTGTCAGCATGCAGACAAATTGAATCTGATGATATGACATTTTCCTAAACCAGCTGAGCAGTTTACTTCAAGACCAAAAAGACCACAGAAAATCCAACCCCTTGAGGTTGAGGAACTGATTGTGAATCAAATGGGCCGTTTTTCCAGGAAATGTTGCAAACTGACCTCTTTCTGCAAATACAGTGTTCCTTTTATGTTCAATCCTTGGCATGAGGATTAAGATTCACAATGTTTAACTGAATGGTTGCAAATAAAACGTTTCAATGTTCACTTTGTTGGTGTACCCCTCAGTGTGATGTAAGTGAAATGAGTGTGTAATACGCAATACATACAGAATACATACAGAACCCTTACTTAGAATAGTGCCCTGAAAGCAACAAAACAACCTGTAATGTTTTCAATATAAGTGAAGAGTCAAAGCGCAGGAATCTCTTTGCATAATTTCAATAGACCTCAATAACAAAAACTGAAAACATTTATTTTTTTAATTTCTCCTTCTAAAGTCTTTTTAGACCAAAACAAGACAACCTTAACTGGGTACTTGTACCTGAACAAAGACAGTGAAGAAGATAACAGTGATGATGGCAGTAAGGAACATCTCTCTCATGGGAAAGTGATCCTTGTTCAGCAGGAAGCCAAGGGAGAAGGCAATGGCACCTCGCAGGCCACCGTAAGCCACGATGAACTGGTCCTTGGTGGTCAGCTTGACGATGCGGAACTTGTTGATCACGAAGGTCAGACCAACCACACCTGGGAAGGACAATGTAATGAGAAACTGACATTGGGTTTGTTTTGTCAGAGCGTGTTGTGAATGTCTGTGTATGTTAAAGACCTTTGGTCAAAAAGTATTCTTTCGAGCCTTTTTTAAGATGCCGACACCAGTGCGTGCCAATATGTTTAGACAATAACAAGAAAGTATATGAACATCAACATAATATACTTTCTGAACCATAATGTTTAGGATTTTTCAATGTACTTTTCATCTTTCCAGCTTACAAAGACTTGATGCTTGATATATCTAGTCTATCACAAGGAAAAACATATCCCCCAATGCATTTCCCCCAAAAAACATGCACTGCTGATTTCTTTAAATCAATCTGCATTTGCAGACATGGTGTTATTTTAATGGCCTTCCATAATGTTTTTTTTTTTAATATCACATTGAAAAAATGGGGGGAAAAGATGCTTTGGAGTGTACTCAGCAGTGCTATAAACTATATTTCATTTATAGTAAACAACTTTAAACCAGCAAAAAAACAAGAACTTGAATTTTTTCCCCATCACAAGATCTTGTATCATGTGATAAATGAGATGTGCATGACTTTTCATAGCAACAATTCAGTCTCAGACAGCATTTATGCTTGGAAAGTTTGCTCAAAACCTCAAGCTTTTAAGGCTTAGAATGTTAAATGAAGACGAGAAGTCAGTATTACATCACTGAACTTATCTGATCTGATCTCTCCCTCAAACAACACTAAGAACTAGTATGACATATCATCAACACCAGCGCTTCCTCTCACACAGCTGTGTGATGAAACATGATGGCAACATTTACTCTTACCAGCATTGCCAGTTTGCTTTTTGAGAACAAGATCTTTGTACACACACAGAAATCCTTTTAATATAAATCACAACTCATAGTTGTTGTACTATAATACATCTGTCTCCCTTGAAAAAGAATACTAAGCAACTTTACTTTTGGATTCGCATTTAAGCCCTGTTAATGACAAATCTGTTCAATTAAAAACACTTTAAAGAAGAAATCTGAAATTAGTAGGAAATTGAACCCGGGTCTCTCACACCAAAGGCAGGCGCCTTTACAAATTAACAACACTTCCTCTGTTATTTGCCCTTTATATAGTGTTGTTACACACCACAGCATGCTTCAAGTTCACTCAGAATTTTAAATCGAAGCGCTGCTTCCACCAGAAGTGTCTACACACTTTTTGTATTCTTTGCGTGCATTTGCTGTTCTGACAGTGAAGCCTGCACCAGAAGTGACTCCACAAAGGAGACCTGCAGACAGGGTGCAAAATTTACTTTTTTGTCTAGCACCCACTGGCTAGTGAATGTGTACCAGCCACACAATAGATTACTATTGTTTCTTGGCTGGTGAGAGACGTAAATCTACCAGGCATTTGCATATTTTACCAACATTTGGCTGGTGCTAATTTTGCACCATGCCTGCAGACAGACTGTCCTGAAAAATAACTGCAGTAGAACTAACCTATGACTCGTGCCACCAGACACAGAATGACAGTGACTGTGACGAAGGTCCAGTTCCAGGAGTGAGGTCCATCCACCGTGGCCACACCCAGAAAGATGAAGATTAGTGTCTCACTGACGCTGCTCCACATTTTCAGGAAGTACTTGATGGTGGTGTGAGACTTGTGGGAAATGTTGGCCTCCACATAAGGTCGCATCACCGCACCACACGCTATCAACCTGGAAGGAGAAGAGGCAAACATTTGCTCAGTTGAAAGATAGTAAAAATTTGTACATGTAGTGGAGGTACACGCTATATATTTTAGGAAACATATTTTCATAGACTCCATGTTTTAAATTAGTTGTTTGTCTTGTCCCAAATGCTGGGATGTTTGTCATCCAAAACAAAATACTGGTGAGCATTTTTAAAATGCAGATGCAGTGATTTGACTTAAGTATTCAGCAAGAGTTTTCCACTAAAGGAATAGTGTAGTTACCCACTGATTATGGAAACATGACACCACAAAAGATGTCTCCATCCCTGTCTGGTGACCACTTCACTATTCTATTTTGGTGTCATGGAATGTATCTATTCAAAAATGTGGAGGCCAGAAATGAATGCCATCCATGTCCCATAAGCTGCACCAGCTGCTTCACTCCCCTCCATGTGATTATTGGTTTGGCTTTCAAGTCTTTTGGGGAATGATGAAAGGAATTCATATCAGTAAGCTGTTTCACTTCTTAATAAACAGGTGATATGAAAAAAAAACCTCAACAGTTTTTGATGTGAGGTGCAAGAAGCCAGCCACAGGCTTTGGAAGAGATTGTCCTTGAAGCTACGCATCCTTTGCCCCTGACTCAGAGGGGAGACTCAGTATATCATCGCCTCCTGTCTGCAACATCAATAACTCGTAGCACCTTAAACAGAAAATGGATTGAAATATCCCGGAGGCTGATGAGAAACGACACTTCAGAGAATGTTGGGATCCCAATAAATTTAAGTTTGGTTTAGGTGCTGTTATCAGTTCAATTCATTATACCACTGGTTATACGCCACGATGTACACTCAAAGTTAAATTGATTTTCTCTACAGTGACAAGTATGCAGATAGACCATGACATCTAATCACTGAGGTAAAATCCCTCCCTATATTAAAAACATGTAATACAAGAGGGACGTCCCTGAAACACCAAGAGTATTTCACAGATACCAGACAGCTAAAGGCTAACATGCTCACAATGACAATATCACCATGCCAATGTTCAGCAGGTATAATGTTTAACATGTTCCCCATCTTATAGTATTTTTCAACAAAACAGTTCCAGGATCTATGGAACCATGGGAACTAAACTCGGGAACAGTGAAGACTGGGCACATAAAAAAAAAATGATGGCTTGAAAAAATTGCTTAGCAGATGTTAGCATGCTAACATCTGCTAAGTAGCACTAAAAACAAAGTGCTGCAGGTGGCTGATGGGATTGTCATGAATAGTTTTTCCAGGCATTTGGCCTCTGGGGACCATGCATGTACACAATTTCATTTCTATCCTTCCAATAGTTGTTAAGATACACGCGGCTAGTGCTGCTGACAATCAATGAAAAACAGTAAACTGTGGTAAATAAGTATGACGTGAAACTCTTCAGACCAAACACAGAGCAAATGTTTCATACAAATTACATACAAAGTCAATGCAATGAGGCAAATAGGGGAGAATTGGTGGAGAGAGAAAAGAAAAGAAAACTTTAGGACTACATGGTAAGTTCTGAACTTACGTCTTTTTTACTTTAATACCAGCGTTAGTTGTCTTTTCAGTACTCTCTAATATTGGCTAATGGGTGCGAATATTTTCAGTTTGTGAAATATTCCAAAAAACACAAAAATTAGTTTTCAAACAGATCTCTTCCTCAAACGGTGAAAACGGCTAAAAACAGAAAACGATTAAACTTACTTGCACATCACAACGTGACATTACAATTATATTTATTCATTTATGGTGGATAGAAAAAGTCTACACACCCCTGTTAAAATGCCAGGTTCTTATGATATAAAATAATGAGACAAAGATAAATCATGTCAGAACTTTTTCCACCTTTAATGTGACCTATAATGTCAACAATTCAATTGAAAAACAAATTGAAATCTTTGAGGGGGAAAAATGAAAAATAAAACCCCTCAAATAACCTGGTTGTATAAGTGTGCACACCCTTAGACTAATACTTTGTTGAAGCACCTTTTGATTTTATTACAGCAGTCTGTCTTTTTGGGTAGGAGTCTATAAGCATGGCACATCTTGACACTCTTCTTTGCAAAAGCGCTCCAAATCTGTCAGATTGCACGAACGTCGCCTGTGCACAGCCCTCTTCAGATCACCCCACAGATGTTCAATTGGATTCAGGTCTGGGCTCTGGCTGGGCCATTCCAAAACATTAATCTTCTGGTGAAGCCATGCTTTTGTGGATTTGGATGTGTGCTTTGGGTCGTGCTGAAAGGTGAACTTCCTCTTCATCTTCAGCTTTCTAACCGACACCCAAAGGTTTTGTGCCAAAATTGCCTGGTATTTGTAACTGTTCATTATTCCCTCCACCCTGACTAAGGCCCCGGTTCCAGCTGAAGAAAAACAGCCCCAAAGCATGATGCTGCCACCACCATGCTTCACTGTGGGTATGCTGTTCCTTGGGTGATGTGCAGTGTTGTTTTTGTGCCAAACATACCTTTTGGAATTATGGCCAAAAAGTTCTACCTTGGTTTCATCAGACTATAACACATTTTCCCACATGCTTTTGGGTGACTTGACGTTTGTTTTTGCAAACTTCAGCCGTGCTTGGATGTTTTTTTTTGTAAGAAAAGGCTTCCATCTTGCCACCCTACCCCATTCATATGAAGAATACGGGCGATAGTTGTCACATGTACCACACAGCCAGTACTTGCCAGAAATTCCTGCAGTTCCTTTAATGTTGCTGTAGGCCTCTTGGAAGCCTCCCTGACCAGTTTTCTTTTCGTCTTTTCATCAATTTTGGAGGGACATCCAGTTCATGGTAAAGTCACAGTTGTGCCATATTTTCTCCACTTGATGATGACTGTCTTCACTGTGTTCTAATGCTTTGGAAATTCGTTTGTACCCGTCTCCTGACTTAAGTCTTTCAACGAGATCTCTCTGATGCTTTGAAAGCTCTGCGGACCATGGCTTTTGCTCAGAGATGCAACTAAGAAAATATCAGGAAAATCCTACTAGAACAGCTGAACTTTATTTGTGATTAATCAGAGTCACTTTAAATGATGGCAGGGGTGTAAGGACTTCTAGTTAACCTGAGTTTGAATGTGATTGGTTAATTCTGAACACAGCCACATCCCCAGTTATAAGAGGGTGTGCACACTTATGCAACCAGGTTATTGTAAGGTTTTAATTTTTAATTTTTCCCCCTCGAAGATTTCAGTTTGTTTTTCTATTGAATTGTTCACATTAAAAGGTGGAAAAAGTTCTGACATGATTTATCTTTGTCTCATTATTTACATTATAAGAACCTGGCATTTTAACAGGGGTGTGTAGACTTTTTCTATCCACTGTAGCTGACGGTTTTATCCAAAGCAACTTACAATTGCTATATATGTCAGAGGTTGCACACCTCTGGAGCAACTACACATTGGTATGTCACAGTGGATTCGAACCTGGGTCTCTCACACCAAAGACATGTGTCTTATCCACCACAATGAAAATGTTATTATGGAATAGTGGTGGGAGTGACAGCATTCAGTACATAAAGAAGATTCTGAAAATGTGCTATTCTGCTTGTCTCTCCAAGTCTATCTACATAACCACCTCCCCAAACTTACGCCATGATTCCAGAGAGATGGAACATCTCAGCTGACAGGTAGGCCATGTAGCTGTACACAAAGACAAAAAGTGGCTCGATGACACGTGTGTGGGATGTGAAGCGTGAGGTGAAGGCGGCCAGGATCCCATAGATAGCTCCTACTAAAACGCCACCCAGTGCAACCACCAGGAAGGAGATGACTCCCAGGACCGCATCCATCACAGTCACTGTGCCAACACCTGCATACTCCTCAAACAGGTGGTATAACACCTAGGAATGGGAGAAAGAGGGAGGAAAAGAGGGAACGATAAAAAATACTTTAAGAAACACTGTGCTGATTAAGATACATAACAAAAGCAGGTAAATGTTTACAACAGAAAAATCACTTGGGGTTTTATTGAATTATTTGCAGGATGCGTATATTGCTATGTCAATATAACTATATTTGAATATGTATTTTCTTTGATTATAGATTTATTATTTCGGTAAATGTATTATCTTGTAGTTATTTTAATTTAAAATTTAAATCATCTTAATTTAAAATTAAATAAAAATCTATCTATCTGTCTCTCTATTCATCCATTATAAAACATAATATATTGGTACATTTTAAAACACTTGTTAGCCAGTAAATTTAAAGAGATTTCAGGTTCCACACCGGACATCATCGCAATCTTACTGAACATGCTTTTCTTTTGCAAGGGAAAAGACAACTGCAACATTTTGTGCCAATTGGATAAAACAATACTTAAAAGTTCTGTACCAAGCCTTTGCTAAGTATCTCATTATGGAGATATACAGACTCCAGGCTAATCATGCAGATTGACTGCCTAGTGCTCCCAGACTGATAAGCTCTGCTCTCACCACAGCCTATACACCAAACAGCCTGGGCCGAAAATGGCACAGGGGCTGTCGCGCTTGTTTTGAAGCCAAAATTGGATCTGAGCGTATGACCTGGAGACAATGGCTGTCAGTGAATGAGCATGCAAAGTATTTGAGATAAAGATACTACGGGTGAATATTTAGCACAGTATTAACATGCTAGTTGATTTCAAAAACACTGGGTGTTAAAAATAAAGGTGACGTCTCAGATAACTATGATGCTAGTATTGTCAGTAACTTTATACTGTACATGGTGCTGTTCGGGAACAGGCCAGCTAACAGTTGAGCTAAGGATTACTGTGTGTAGACAGGCTAGTCAGTGGATTGATAGCTGTGTGTTGACAGCTGAAGTCTAATTATAAGGTTAAAAGTTTATTCAATATACAACCTCACCCGATGATAACACCAAGTAACTAGAGTTTTTATCGGCTTCACGGACTACTAAACTAGCCAATTTTAATCGCATCAGGATGCTCTACATAGGGCAACAAAGTTGTTGTTTACAACTCCAACCATATTACAACCGTTTAAGTAATAATTATACTTCTGAGGGCTACAGGCAAGCCAAGTGGTCACACTGCAGTTTATTTTATGTAGTCTTGACAGAGAACTGACTCTAATCTACCTTTACTGTGGCACTGATAAAACAATAAATGCATTCTCTTATAACAAATGGAAGCATTAAAGTCTGTTTCCAACCACATTGTGGCCTATTCCCTATTTTGGTCACTCACCACAGTGACAGCATCATTGAGCAGAGATTCGCCAAACACCAAGATGTGCAACAGTTCATTGATGTGGATCTCCTCAAACACCGCTAGCACAGCAACGGGATCCACAGCTGAGATGATGGAGGCAAACAACAGGCAAGGCAGGAGCTCTATCGTATGGAGACTGGATGGATTGTTTGGCTGGATCTGACACACAGCATACAGAAGGCCCCCGATGAAGAAGGCATTCCACAAGGTCCCCACAACAGCAAACATCAGGATGGTGCCCAGGTTCTCCATGAAGGGACGGATGGGCAGGAAGTAGCCAGCATCTAGGATGATGGGTGGCAGCAGGCAGAGGAAGAACAATCTGGAATCCAGCACTGGGGGGAGATCTTCTCCGGCTAGTTTGATGAGCCCCCCCACCAGAAGACCCACCACAATCAACAGGCAGCTCTCTGGCACAATACTGGACAGACGAGGAATCAGGTGGAAGCCTGGGAAAATTTACAAGAAAAAAGACAAGATGCAAGGGCATGGAGAGAGACAAAGGACAAGAATGAGGGGAGTGATTTTTCAGGAAATTCACTGCAGTATTTTATACCTTAGAAGTATTTGTGCGTGTGTGCGTGTGTGTGTGTGTGTGTGTGTGTGTGTGCAGAAGTGATAAGATTAACTGGAATTGTTCCCATCTGTTTTCTCACTTGTAAACACTGCAAAGCTGAAGACTTTCCAAGACAACACTACAGGAGGCAAAACTGTGACACTGCGCACTTTTTGAGTAGTAGCACCACGCAGATAACAAATTGTAGAGCACTCACAGGTACAAACAAACAAACAAACATACATACATTACTGGATAGTTTGTACTCATAAATGTTATTTCAGCAATATTCTGCACAGTTAAAGTGTGCAGGAAAGGAGGGAAACGCTTCTGATTGTTGTGTAGGCTGTGCAGATATGGCAGAGCTTGCTCAGAACTGTTATTTTCAGCATATGAATAAAGTGATACCTCCGGTTTTGAAGTTGTAGGTTGGGAAAGAACTGTGTGCTGTGTAGTTACTGGAATGACACATCAGCTAACACCATTGTCCTTGTGAATTCAAGAAGGGAAGAAAATGGAAATAGTATGCAAAACATTAATCGTAGACAGATCTCACATGAAGTCGTGGCTGCAATTTAAATACACATGCCATGAGCACCCAGCCAGGCTAATAAAAAGTGCTGCCTGTGAAATGAAGAGAGAATCTTTCAACTTCAATTTGTCTCTTTGTTTACATACTAATCCAATTTTGGAGGACTTCCACATAATTGAAACAGCCTTTAGCAACTACTTGCTATTGCTCAAGACAGAGTGGCCAAAACCGGTTTGACGGTTGCCTTTTTTTCACTAAACAGGCCCCTTACCAAACAGACAAACCCAACAAAGGTAAGTAAGGTGACTTTAGAGTTGGGTTGTTGTTTTTTGGGTCAAGTTTTGTACTTTTATTTTGCAAATTTAATGGTCTGCTTCCGCAGACAGAGTGAAAGCTGACGACTCGCATTCAGCGAGCTAACTCAGTAGCGCAAAGAACACAGGAATGGCAGGGAGATGAAGAGGGGAAAAACAGTGTGTCAGGCCAGAATATATGTGAAATAAGGGTTTATTCTGACCAAACCAGAGTTGGTGATTGTTGGAACATTAAAAAGAAGAACCATGATGTTTTGGGGGAGGTTTATTTAGTTTCTGTTAAGTTTAAAAAAAGTTGTGTTTGAGTTAACAAGGCAATTAAGCTAGTCTTAATTTGAAAAACTTGAATTCAGAAGGTGTACGTTTTTTCTGTTTAGTTAATAGGTGTAAGAATATTTTATATAGTGAGTTTATTTTGTTATTTATTTGACTAAGAGCTTGTGGAACACTCGCTGCTCCCAGTTGAAACTACTTGCTCGACTATATAGGTAATCACTGGTTGGGCTTTTGGTGGCTGGTTGGAAACTTAACATATCGCACACCTCTAGTGAACATGGGACCATAAATACTATCACCCTGAGCTGTGGTGAAGTTTCATATGAAACAATAAACACAATCAAGGCTACATAAATACACAGTGAGGTGACAGGATAAGACTTCAAAGAGATTGCAGCGTGCATCCCATAGTGAGAAGTCTTTCCCCGGCTATATTTACTGTACACTACAGCAGCATGGGGTCATTTTCCAGCTGCCAATGTACCTGCCGACGACATGGTGCATTAACACTAACACACAAACACACACAGAAATGTAAACCAAATAAAGCTACATTGTCACACACAGGCTAAACAATCTTATAGGGGTAGAAAATATGACAGATAACAGAGAACATATTCTGGCAGTACAGCAGATAATGATGCTACTTTTATAACTCTCTGAATTTGACACATTTTTGGAATTTCATAGAGTTATGTGCAAACACTATCGTTGATGGTGGAGGCTCACGTGAGAGATGGTCCTTGCTTCACATTACATGCCCCAAAAAGATTGTATTTCATTGTGAATGAGACAGTAAGACCAGTATTTTGCAGTCTGTGTGTATTTACATACAGAGGCAGGGACTGACATATCCACCCTAAGCAACAGCTATTCTACAGAAATATGTTGTCTAACCTCTGCAGTAATTTTAGATTCAAATGGTAACATTCACATAGAATTTTAACCTAAGATGCTTGGATAAATGCACCCAAAGCAGCACATGTTAAATCAATAAGCACCACAGCTACAAAGCTTAAGCTATTAAGGCCAAGAATGGATGGTGCAGTGACAGCAGCACCATCTGGCACAGTAACCACGGGGTGTGTTCCCTCCTGAGCAAAGAAGGGAGGGACAGGCAGGTGAACGTTTGCTCAAAAAGGATTGCAGAGGAGCTAATTAATATTCACTCATTGGCACGTTGCACAGTTTGTTATGTAATGGCGAGGGCTTGTACACAGTAAACCAGTTAACAACAATTCTGACAGCAAGTACATAGATAATTTATGAGATACGAGCTGGAATTATATTTAACCTTTACTTTATCATTTCAATGTTGCAGGGTTTTGTTTTAACAGTATGTGAAAGTTTAGCATCATAAGTCCTCTGCAGGAATACAAGACATATGAGGTGGGGGATATTTATACTTCGACAGCATGAGGACAAAACTATTAAGTGTTTCAGCACACAAGCTCAACAATTGCATGTCTGTGGATTATACAGCTGCATGCAGCTGGAGCTCTGAAGACAGCGAGGAAGCCTTTATCTTAAATGGTCTAAGGAGCCCTAAATTTACGAGATAAACGAGATGTCGGCCAACTGCTTTTCTCTTTTCAATGCACTTGCTGTATTAGAAAACAGGGACCATGCCAACTCCATAGAGGTTTAGCATTCAGGTGGGTTAACACACATGTTCTGGGATAAATGCTTGAAACACAGCTGCCTAAAGAGAAACCTTATCTGACCTTACCCTGACGCTTTATGTCAATTCAAAGCCAGTTCTGAGACTATACAAAGCACAATGTCTCTTCAGAAGAAAGCATCAGTTTGTTTCCTGGAGGATTCAAAATGAAAGCTAAATTACCACATTAATGTTCACAACATCTCAACCCCCTGTTACATAAGAAGCTGTGGCTTAAAATGTCTATGACGTCAACACTACAGAGATCTCTGTTTAGCGTGGGGTACACCAGATTACACAAGTGGGCCTGCACACCTCCAGTAAGCTAATTGGTTCCCATCTGAGAAATCTTATAGATTACTTTGACAGGCCTTCCACAGAAATGACTTAAAAATTCTGCCAGTAAATATCACTTTATCATCACCTTGCTTTATTACAAACAGGTGTAAAGTCTTGCAAAGAATTTAAAGACGTCCACTGTTCCACAATATGGATTTAACAGCTCATATCTGTATGTATGGTTTACTAAACACACAACGTATTTATCATACCATGGCATGTACATATGTTTAGCATTCTCTTTGATGGAAGATAAGCATGTTCTGCCTGTCGCAGGCTGACAGAGGGCAGCAGATGGTAGTGCATAAACCAAGGTGTTATGGGATCCAAAGAAACAAGGTCTGCAAACAAAGAGCATTTACTTCTGCAAGTCAAATCTTGGGGGACTTGTGCTCTACATTTCTGAGCAAACATACAGCATGATATCAGGTCATATGGTTGCACTGCTAATATTGCTAGAAGGTAGCAAATTACCAAGAGATCAAGGGTTCTGTAGCAAATTCAACATTGTTGTCTTTCCATATCATAGCCTCACAATTCTCATATTTAAATATTAGATAAGCTAAATATTAAATCTGTGACAGCATGAGACCTTACATTTTTGAGTCTGTATGAAAACGTGGTATTTTTGTATTTTTGAATTAGCCTGTCAATTTGCCATTTGTGTCAATGGAATGGAAATGAATTTGTGTTTTTATTGTGTAATTCTCAGTGAATACCCTGACATACCAGGACGTGCCCATGTTGCACTGCAGAAGCTGTGGAATAACCTACCTAATAATACCTCAACTGTTTGACTGACCAAGTTCAAAGAAAGTCAGCTATACAGAACCTTTAATAAGATCGGTAGTGTAGTCCTCATGAAAAGGACAAACAGGTCATTACTAGAGGAACTAAACGTATTACTGCCTTGAGCAGTGGTACACTCCACACTGGATCCAACATGACACTCTAAATTATCCATTATCATTCATGGATGGCCAGGAGGGACCAGTGAAGACTGTGCATGCTGAAGAACCAGGACATGAATTCTGAGACAAAAAGCCATTTCAGCATCAGTATTGACCTTTCTAAATGTAAAAACTCTCAACACGTCCTCGACCTCAGACAAAAAACTCAGTCGAGGAAGCCCAGGCTAAGTGGTGACAGTAAACACATTCTTAAATCTCTCCTGCATGACTCCCATAATGGCCTTCAGTGTTCATCAAGTGAAGAGCCACACCACTAGAGATAAGTAAAAAGTGGGGCAGTGCACTGTTAACACACACACACCACACACACCACACACCACACACCCACACACACTATATAAGAGAAGATGTTTTTGCAGAATTCTTCAACTATAAGATCAGGCAGTTCATCCTGGCCGCTTGTCAATAACGGCAGGCACTGTGTCCTTGCCCCATTTCCTCCTGAGAGCTGTCATGCAGCAAAGGATATTGAAAACCGGCAATGGGTAACAGCTCTTTCACTTCTACATGTGTACCCAGCACAGCCTGGTACTTGCTACACATGACCATTTCCAAATCGAGGAACTGTGTCCTGTTGCCAGGTGACTAATTGTATACTGGCAACCAAATCTGCTGGATCAAGCGAGCACAAAAGAGAGAAAACGGCTGCTTTGTTAAGGAAGGTGATTGATGATGCATTCATTGATTTCCTAGAAATCAAGATGTTAAATTGAATGGCAAGCTTTCCACCACAACATACTGCGGTTCACAGAAAGGTCAAGACAACTAATTTGATGCAGGCCTTGATAGAAGAAAATAGTT